GAGAGGGAGAGAGAGAGATAGAAACATCAATGATGAGAGAGTCATTGATCGAGCCCACAACCCGGGCATGTGCCCTGACCAGGAATCAAACCCCAATCGCCTGGATCCTAGGTTGAAGCTCAACTGCTGAGCCACGCCCGGCCGGGCCATTTCTTAGCAATTCTATAGTTGTTAGATAGGTACTAACATCAACTCCACATTGCAGATTAGGAAAAAAGCTATCTGCCTAAAGTCATGCAAGTGGCAAAATCAGGATTTCAACTGATCCCCTACCATATCACACCTGGACTAGACCCTACCTAGGCCTCTCTGGTCCTGGTACTAATGATGCTACTTACTTGGCATAAACAGCGGGCCAGTTTCTCCCTGCTTACTTAGGAAAGAGAACGACTCTTTATGATGTTACCACTAACAAGGCCTCTGTGGGCTCTGCAGGTTCCTTCTTCAGTCTCTGGAAGATTTGGACACGAGTTTAAGGAAACTGAACTCTCGCCTGTTTGTAGTACGGGGACAGCCAGCTGACGTGTTCCCAAGACTATTCAAGGTAAGTGTGCAGAGTCGGGGAGAAGACAGTGAGAGTCCACTCCCCAGGGTTGCCCCACAGGTGGAATGAGATGATATTCTGACTGAGGAAATGGAAATAATCAGGGCTGGTCTGACCGCTGCTGCTGGAGAAGTTGGGAGCAAATGCAGCTGGTCAGCTTGCCGACAGAATGAAACTGTTAAGGAAAAAATTCTGTGTAACCACCATCTTCTTGGACAGTTCCCAGCACAGTCCAGACATGGGATGTAGCAAGTTATTCCACCCTGGATGCTTCCTTGGATGTTTCCTTGACTCAAGCCAGCAAGGTTTATTAGGGCTCTTTCCACGCCAGGACTTTAAGGCGAGGTTTCCTGTTCAGCAAGAGGCATTTCCTGTCTTTCTTTGCTCTGCTAATTGGGAAAAGAGTCAGCCTTTCTGAGGGAGCTTCCCTGCTCCCTCTTGGGTAAATGGCAGATGAAATCTTCATGTGGGCACCACACAGGCCTGTTTTCTATATCAGCAGCCCACTTTGCCCCCCAGCCCCTTTATAAAGCTTGTTTTAAAGTCCAAACAGAGGCAAAAGTACTCATGGACAGAGGGCTCTAGGACAGTCTCTCCTCATCCTCAGCACTCACGTTGTTTTTAGGCCCCTCTCCACTCAACTTCCTTCCCTACTCTTTTTAGGGGGAAGGATAGGAGGAAAGGTTTCATGTCAAGACAAGCAGCTCAGTAAACACTTCATCATTCACTTCACCTCCCCTCAGCCCCCCGGCCCTTCCAAATGCACACGTACAAAGCACACAGTGTCAATAATAACCACCTTTCATTCAGGGCTGACTATGAGTCAGACACTGTTCTACGTAAGTGCTTTGCATACATTAATTCACTTACTTTTCACAGCAGCCCTAAGAGGTAGGTACCGCTGTCCCTACTGTACAGATGAGGAAACAATAACCTGCCCGTAGTCACGGAGCTAGGAAGTGGTGGCCTAGGATTCAAGCCCAGGCTCTCTGACTCCAAGCTGTGTTCTTAACATCTATACTATTAACCATATTTGCCTCTCTTTTCCCTCTGCATTGCCCTACTCTCTCCCAGCACCGCCAAGGCCAACCCCCAGTACAGCCCAGAGACACAGGTAGATCAGTCATTCGGTGTATACTGATTGAGCCTCTGCTATGTACTGGGCCCCATGCTAGGTACTAGGGTGATGAGGAGTGAAACAGCATGGTTTCCGCTCTGAGAGTTCACACTCTAATGGGGTAAACAGGTAAGTAATGGGCAACTTCACTGCCATATAATAAATGCTGTGATGGGAAAAGAGCAGGATGCAGGAGACTTACTGAAGGAGAAGGTCAAGGAAGGCTTCTTGGAGAAGGTGTCATGTAATAGCATTCTGATTTTTATCACAGGGCAATGAGTATTTAACAGTGTAATCTATATGAACTGCTAAGCCTGGTACGTGGCTCACAGTAAGGGCTCCATAAACATTTAGTGCTGTTATCTTTGCACAAGGATAACCAGCCCTGCTCAGGACCCAGACCCCAGGCAGGGCTGAGCCAGAACCAAACCAGCCTGAGCATGGCCAGGACATTTGCCCCAAGGAGTTCACAGTTTTAAGGGACCATAACCAGAGACTGTGGTTGGAATATGCTTTTCTTTCTGCTAGCTGCATGCTCTAGAGCTTTCTGTGGATTATCTGTACAACCTTTCACAGGGCCAGCTTTCTTTCAACATTGCTAGGAAATCTAGAAATTTCTATCAGAAATAACTAAATACTTAGAAAAGAATTCCCTTCTTTTTTAACATGTAGCCCAGCCTGTCTGGTTTAATTTCTGTGACCTCTGGACTAAGGATTGCTCCTCCTTCTGCAGCGCTCTGAGAGCTGGAGCCTGTTAGCTCTGTTTGCTGCTGGCCTCAGCAGTGTTGCTGTGGAAACCATTAAGACACTTCACATAGTACAAGTCTGCCAAGAAAACTAGGCCAGAAGTTTGCAGGGCTGTGAGGAGCTCTGGGAAAGGCTTGCCGAGCAGGAGGGAGGTGGCAATCCTGTCCCAGACTGTCTCCACCAGTGAGTCAGTGCCTCTTGCTGGGACAGAGGGGGGGGGGAGCTCCCCTGAGAGCATTGTATTTCTAGCCTCCCGCTGCATTCCCCTACCTCAAGGACACAGCAAGTGCACAGGGCTACCCACCTCTCCTGATGCCACAGAGACCACTAGCCTCAGGCTCCAATGATGCCATGCTGTTGGCCTCACCTCAAAGGCCTGCCCTCCTCAAACCTTGTGAACCTGAGATTGTTTACTTTCCAGTTCAAATCATTGTCCCTGGTTTGTTCTGCAGCCCATTCTGACAGGTCTCTAGACTTTCTCTGTTCCCTCCCAGGATGGAACTGAGTGTCCAGCTTCCCCCTCCTCCCCAAACAGTGTAGCATAACAGATTCTCTCTCCACAGGAATGGGGGGTGACCCGCTTGACGTTTGAATATGACTCCGAACCCTTTGGGAAAGAACGGGATGCTGCCATCATGAAGATGGCCAAGGAAGCTGGTGTGGAGGTAGTGACCGAGAACTCTCATACTCTCTATGACCTGGACAGGTAAGAGATGGGTCCCAGGGGTCAGGTTACCAGTTGTGAGAGTTGGTGATTTGGGCCCCTGCTGAGCAGAACTCAGGGAGGTTTAGCAATATGGCCACCTGGCGCATGAGGTGTGGCATTTTATAGAAGCGGGAGGAGAATGGACCAGAGTTGGGCTTATAGAACAGGTCTCAAAGAGCTTTTTCTGATTTGGGTGCAAAGAGGCTCTTTAAACCCAAGGTATGGAGCAGCAAGGATCCCCACTGAAGGTCTTCATAGACTTGCTCCTAATATGCTCCAGTCTCATCCACTCCTCATGTTCCCACTGCTGTCCTCCTCAAAGGCTGCCCTCTGGCTTCTGTGGACCCTAAATGTTACCCCTCCCATAGGATCTCTGTTCTCATAGGCCCAGTTTCTGTACCCAATATGAGTTCTCTGGGCTTCCCTAGCTATCTAGTTTTCCAGGTCATGCATTTAGATGTTGCTCAGGAGGCTCTAGAGATCCCTGCAGGGAGCTGATAACTAGAGTGGCCTCCTTCCCTGGGGACAGCCTCTATGTTTTCAGAGATTCTAGGAGGAAACCCTTTCTTCCCCTTCCCTGGCAGAGCTGTCACCCTCCTGCTGCTGCTGTTGCTGGCAAGGCGGCAGCCACCACTTCTTCCTACCTCCCTCTCAGTGGTGGCTGCCAAGAGGCGGGTCACACAGCTCTGCACGTGAGCTGAGCTCTCGGGAGGAGGTGCTGGGTGTGGAACTCCTCCTCCTGCCACGTGCAGGAGGAGGGGAGAGGTTCTGCGGGGGCAGCAGCCAACCTCAGATCTCCGAAAGAGGAGGAGAGAGAGCCAGAGAGCTGAACTGAGAAATGAACTCACCCAGCCAGCCGCTTTGCGTAAGCTGCTTCTTGGCCAACAAGAGCCTTGGGAATCTGGCTCTAACCCATCCCAATTCATCTTTATATAAACAGCCTCAATTCTCCACTCTCCTACATCTTTTCTTATTACCTGAGTACAGCTATGTTTCTCTTGCTCATGAAAAAATACTTTGTAAACTGCAAAATACCCTTTATGTTTTAGTTGTTGCTATTAATAACCACAGCCCCAGTCTCTGGCTTAGGGAGGAGAGGCTGTTCTGCACCTCTTTGTTCTAGAAAATAGGGGCCAAGAAGGGAATGATTGTCCCACAAAAGAACACATTTGCAACCCTTATAAAGAACTTCTCAAGGCTTATGCCAGGATAGAGAGGAAGAGCCACAGGAATTCCCATGGCATGGACAGCCAGGCTGAGTACCAAAAAAACTAGTGGGGATTTTTCTGTGATTAGAGAGATCTGGTCAGTCTGTCTAGGAGGAAACCCGTCTAGGCATTTCCTCCTGTCTGTAGGCGGCTCCACGTTGTCACCAGGGAACCTGGAATTGAGTCCCAGCTTTGACCCTGCCTTGCTCCATTACCTAAGGCACCTGCTCCAGCTCTCTGGGCTTCATTTACCCTCATTAAAATGGAGATATAGCTTCCTTTGCCTCTTCTTTCCACTTAGGGGTGGGACCTGTAAGCAGATAAGGAAAGGAACCCTCTAAGCCTTCAAAGTCTGGGCTCTTATCTAGGTGGGCAGGGACCCAGAATGAAGGGCCCTATGAGTGACCTTAGATGTGCTTTGGGATTCTCAGGATCATTGAGCTAAATGGACAGAAGCCACCCCTTACCTACAAGCGCTTTCAGGCCATCATCAGCCGCATGGAGCTGCCCAAGAAGCCCGTGGGCTCCGTGACCAGCCAGCAGATGGAGAGCTGCCCAGCTGAGATCCAGGCGAACCACGATGAGACCTATGGCGTGCCCTCCCTGGAGGAACTGGGTGCGTGCTTCTGGCCCCAAGACTCTTAGGCCAGCACCTCCCTTTTTGTAAAATACCTGTTGCTTTCTTTCCTCTTTGTCAAAATAATGCATGTTATTTTAGACAATTTAGAAAAATACAGAGAGCCTGGCCAGGTGTAGCTCCGCAGTTGAGCATCAACATAGGATCCAGAGATTGTGGTTCATTTCCCAGTCAGGGCACATGCTCAGATTGTGGGCTTGATCCCCAATCAGGGGCATACTGGAGGCAGCTATCAATGACTCTCATCATTGATGTTTCTGACTCTCTATCTCCCTCTCCCTTCCTCTCTCTCAAATCAATAAAAATATATTTTTTTAAAAAAGAAAAGAAAATATAGAGAAATGAAAATGGAAATAATGGTCACTCTTTCCACCACTCAGAGATAACCACTGTGATTTTGGAATATGTCCTTCCGGTCTTTTTCCTGTTTGTACTCATAAGTTATCATATATTTCTAGTTCATGTCTCTGTTTTTGTACTTTTCCCTCTCAAATGATGTAGGCACAGTCACTGGTCCTGGCATCAGTGGGCTTTTCAATACCTAGATAACTAATACTGCTTTGTTGAAGGGGAGGGTCTCTTGGTCTCTCAGGGTACTGACTGACTACACCCTTTCTCTCTTTCTCCTTCCTCTCCTTAACCCCCATTTTTTGATCTGAACAAAGTTACCTTTCTCACCTGAAAACCACAATTGTCAGCTAACCTGAAAGGGTGAACAGTCAAGGATTGCTCTCATCTGCCGGAAGGAGGGATGGCTGGGATGGGAAGGCAGGGAAGGGAGAGGGAAAAGCCACAGTGAGAAGAAAACCAGAATGACCTAGAAAAGACTGGAATGTTAAGGATTATCTCAGACCCAGTAGCAGCAAGAACACCGTGATTCAGTTCTTGCAGAGCTCAAAGAGCAGACTGATGTACCAGGACTTGCTGAGCCAGCACTGGAAAGGCCTGCCCTTCAATCCTGTGACCTGCTCCTCCTGTAGGGTTCCCCACTGAAGGACTTGGCCCCGCTGTTTGGCAGGGAGGAGAGACAGAAGCTCTGGCACGCCTGGATAAGCACTTGGAACGGAAGGTATGGCCCCATTTCTGAGAAATAGAACTTCAGCTGTTGGCCACCCATGCAGTGGGGAGTATGGGGTCAGGCTCATATCCCTTAGTGCCTCTTAGCTCAAAGTGGTTGAAAAATAAAAGATCTTCCTGATGGCCATAACAATAGCAATAATAGCAGCTACTATTGAGTACTTACCACCTGCTGGCCTCTGGGCTGAGCATTTCTGGGTTAAGTACCTGCTTTCATTATTTCCTTTCATCTTTCAACAGTCCTAGAAGGTAGGTATTCAGCTTTCTATTTTATAGATTAGGAAATTAAGGCTTAGAGAGGTTATGAAACTTGCCTAAGGTCACATAGTAAGTAGTAGAGTAAGATCTTGTTCTACGTGATTCTAAAACTTGAGGGAGTTAATGAGTACAGCATTCAAGTCCTGGCTCCTGGCTTTTTGTTCGGTGATTGCAGGCAAACTTCTTAACCACCCAGTACTTCTGTTCTTTCCTCTGTAACATCCAGGCCTTTCCTTTCATGCCTTCTCTTTTGCTGCAGGCCTGGGTTGCCAACTATGAGAGACCCCGAATGAACGCCAACTCCCTGCTGGCCAGCCCCACTGGCCTCAGCCCCTACCTGCGCTTCGGCTGCCTGTCCTGCCGCCTCTTCTACTACCGCCTGTGGGACCTGTATAAAAAGGTTGGCACACAGTGAGGGTGGCATGCCCTGCCCCCACTTGCAGCAGAGTGGACCAGGACCTTCCAGGCCACTCAGTCACCCTGAAAATGGGCCTTGCCCCTGGCCTTGGGAGTGGGGACCAGGTTGTGGATCCTGGAGGTTCTTAAGTGAGTGTATAGTCAGAGAAGGTGGGGAAGAGTCCACAATCCAACCGCCGGGGGAGCCTTGCACAACCCAAACTGCTGATGTACATAAAATCCAGGTTACCAGGTAGAACAGAATAGGCAGAAAGCTGACCTCAGTGTGTCCCTAGAGGTGGCAGATCTGCTGGCAGCAGGTAGACAGGGCAAGTACTCAGGGTGGGAGGCAGGAGGGCAAGGCCAGAGCCAGTCCTCAGCTGAAGAGCACAGTGGCCCTTTTGGGGTTATGTCCAGAGCATCAAAGAGGGAGTCCAAGAGTGGCTGCTGCCCGTCCGTGGTGAAGAGATGCCCTGGAGGGCTGCATGCGGGGACCTGCCATACAGACCGTAAGCAGATCCTGTGGTAATGCCCCCGTCTCCATTCGGAGAGCAGGCAGCACACCAACTATCAGATTCATCCTGCGTCTGTGTTGCTTCACGTTGCCCTGTCTTTCCCAATATCAGGATTCTGGGGTGGCATGGAGTGACTTAATGGGTGTAGTGGGTAATCTGTGATTTTAGGAAAATCATTATTCGCCTGGAGGTCTGATTTTTTAACTTCCTCATGGCCCCACATCCAGGCTATGGTATATAACTTATGTGACCAAAATCTAGACTGCGTATTTTATTATGTGGTGATGGGAAAAGTCCCTCTGATGGTCTAGAAAGTGGAACCAAACGGAGCCCTGAGCATGAGGATTATGAGCCAGTCAGGGAGTTTGGCTCCCAGTGCAGGGTTCCAGAGATACCCTTTTCCACTGCCACCTTTCTGCAGCTGTTCTCATGGCTCAGAGCAGGGCACAGCCAGGCCTGGAGTCACAGCCAGTGGGCACACTGTGCGCTTCTTCTAGGGAACAGTCCCTGCATGTGTCTAGGGAGTTCAGAGCAACCAGGGTCATGGCAGCTCCTAATTGCTTTGTGGGAGAGGTCTGGGGACTCAGTGATGAGAGCTAGGCAAGCGTTTACATCTACATGCTCCTCCCAACCCTCAGGTGAAGCGGAACAGCACACCCCCCCTCTCCCTGTTTGGGCAACTCTTGTGGCGAGAGTTTTTCTACACGGCAGCCACCAATAACCCCAGGTTTGACCGCATGGAGGGGAACCCCATCTGCATCCAGATCCCCTGGGACCGCAACCCTGAGGCCCTGGCCAAGTGGGCCGAGGGCAAGACAGGCTTCCCTTGGATTGATGCCATCATGACCCAACTGAGGCAGGAAGGCTGGATCCACCATCTGGCCCGGCACGCGGTGGCCTGCTTCCTCACTCGCGGGGACCTCTGGGTCAGCTGGGAGAGTGGGGTCCGGGTGAGTGCTCTCTCAGCGGGTAGCTGGCCTGTGCCCCTTCATCAGGCCCAGCCAAGGGCAGCCCCTTCTGGGTTAGGGGCCGGGGTGGGGTCCCTGGGTCCAGAGGATCCCCTCCAAATCCTCTTTGCGGGCTCAGAGGGCATAGATGGGGCTTTCGAGCAGAAGGGCTTTGGCTCTTCTCCATGGGGCATGTGGTGACTCAGGGAGAACCAGGCATTAGGTGCCCAGGTAGGCTGATGTTCCACCTGCCCCCATCTAGGTGTTTGATGAGCTGCTCCTGGATGCAGACTTTAGCGTGAACGCGGGCAGCTGGATGTGGCTGTCTTGCAGTGCTTTCTTCCAGCAATTCTTCCACTGCTACTGCCCTGTGGGTTTCGGCCGCCGCACAGACCCCAGTGGTGACTACATCAGGTGAGGGTGGAGATCAGCTCTCTGGCTCCTGGCCACTGTGGCCTCCTCCTAGGACGAGATACCCTTGACCCTTTGAAGGAGGGTCCCGGTGTGCTGATGGGTTGTCTGGTGTGTATTTCAGGCGATACCTGCCCAAATTGAAAGGGTTCCCCTCTCGCTATATCTATGAGCCCTGGAATGCCCCAGAGTCAATCCAGAAGGCAGCCAAGTGCATCATCGGTGTGGACTACCCACGGCCCATCGTCAACCATGCCGAAACCAGCCGGCTCAACATTGAGCGAATGAAGCAGATTTATCAGCAGCTCTCTCACTACCGGGGACTCTGTAAGGAGCCACTACTCCCCACCAACCCCAGCTCACTGAAAGGAAGGGCAGCACCTGCAGGTTCAGGGGGCTTAGAGGGGGGTTTCCAGATGCCTCTACGGAGACAGTGCTGTCCTCCAGGCTGTCACGTTGACTTGACTTCCCACGGCACAGGACACTGCATGGTGGGCTGGGTCCGGCCTCTGACAAGTCGTGGGACTAAGTGGAACCTTGGTGTCAGCCCCAGGACCCCTCACCTTGTTTTCACCTCCCCTGAAGCCATCTGCAGTCCTGTGAGAGTGTATTCTGATTGCTCCCCTGCTTCTCCCAGGTCTGTTGGCATCTGTCCCATCCTGTGTGGAAGACCTCAGCAATCCAGTGGCAGAACCCAGCTCAAGCCAAACTGGAAGCATGAGCAGTGCACGTGAGTGGCAGCTGGCCTGCTGTGGCCTATGCCCATTTTGAGGGCACTTCGGAACCACCACCACTTCTGTCCCTGAGGGCTGATGACAAAGGCCAGAACAAATTTGTGCCCCCATGGAGTTTATATCCCACCTGGGGCAGACAGATAGTAAAGGAACCGTGCAGCTCATCTCAGATAACAGTGCTTCTGGGAAAATAAAATTGAGTGACCCGATGAGAGAGGCTGGAGAAGGGGGGTTACTTCGGGTTATTGTAGATTGGAGTAGTCGGGGAACACCTCTGAACAGGGACCAAGTAGTGAGCAAAGCCAACCTTTCTAAGAACTGCATTCCCAGCAAAGGGAAAAGCAAAAAAAGCCTCAGAGACAAGAACAAGCTTACCCCATTCAGGGAACAAAGGTAGGGAGGCCATGCGGCTGGAATTTCCCAAATGAGGAGCTAGAATGAGAGAGAAGGACAAATGTAGCGGGAGTCGCATCGCTTAGGCTCAGTGGCCACGCAGGGTATTCAGGTTCTGCCATCAGTACACTGAGGAGGCGCCGACATGGTCAGCAGTGTGGGGCGTGATCGGGTTTACGTTTTACAAAGCTCACTCTGCCTGCTGTGTGGCGGGGACAGTGTGGGCAGGAGTGAGTGCAGGGAGGCCAGAAGGGAGGTGACTGCAGTTGTCCAGGCAGGTGATGGCAGCATGGCCCAGTGGTGGCAGGATAGAGAAAAGTAGATAGCCTTGCCGCATTCTTAACCTCCTCCCTTGGGCTCTGGGATGAAGGTCAGTAAGGTGAGACTGGCATGAACTCTAGGGACTTTTCTAGTTTGCTCAGCAAGGCTGGTGCCGCAGTTCATTCCTGCTTTAGGAGGCATGTCCAGGGTCGCAGAGGGAATTCCTCACCTTCAGAGCAAGGACAGCAGACAGGGAAAATCAGGCCTGGAGCCCAGGAGATTTGGGGCCCAAGAGCCAGCTCTGCTGCCAACACGCCTGGCCGTGCTCTCCTTGGAAATTTCCAGACAGGGTCCTTCCTGAAAGGAAGGCCAAGGGTCAGGTCTGAGGAGCAGCATGCTGGCATTGCACTGATGAGCAGGCTCCCTGTCCCTTAAAGAGCTGCCACTGCATAGTTTCAGGTCATCTTGGCTCTACACACAGTCTGTGTGACACTTTGACCTACTTCCCTACAGGCCCCAAACCACTATCTAGTGGCCCAGCGTCCCCCAAACGCAAGCTGGAAGCAGCCGAGGAGCCACCTGGTGAAGAACTCAGCAAACGGGCCCGGGTGGCGGAGCTGTCTGCCCCAGAGCTGCCAAGCAGAGACGTCTGAGAGTGAGTGACAGCAGATTCAGTTTCAGGAGGGAAGGTGGGAGAGAGGGCGAGGCAGGTGTGGAAAACTACTTCCCTTCTAGCTGAAGGCCAAAACCCAACAAACTAGATTAAAAGTTAGTGGGAACTGCATGATTTTTTAGGACTTCAGTTAAAGAATTCTACCATTCTGACTTACTAAAATTTCAAAGTAAAGCCCTTTCATTCTTTGCCAACTAAGGGGGGAAAATTGGAGATCAGGGAGAGCTCTTTCTACTTTTCAAAGTGAGGAAAATCTAACAAAAAGAAAGCAGAGACCCGGATGTGGAGCTGTGAGAGAAATGGCCTTGTGGCCAGGTCTGAGGATGCTCAGGGCCCCTCAGCTATCACCCCATAGGCTGTGTTCTGTAGGTAGGCCAGGGGAGGGCAGCACTTACCTTCAGAAGAGAGGCAGGCTCTCAGCCCAGCCCCTCCTAAGGACCAGTGGCCTCGGGCTCCCCATCATCTGTGTCTCTCACAGCCACTCCTCCTCCTCACCTTTCTCATGGCTTTGACTCTGTGCTTTCCTGTTAGCACTCATCTTTCTTGGAAACCTCCTGAAAGTTTAAGAAAAACAAACAAAAAATACCTTTCTCCTTCCCTAGAGCAGAAAGGGCCTTTTGTGCCTTTCTTGGAGAAATATAAATTATTGTCCTCTTGGAGTCATCTCAGGCAGTTCCGTATGTGCCATGAGATTGGAGGGTGACTTTCTTTATGGAGCCAATTGATTCTGTTTTCCAAACCCTTCCATTTCAGGGCGGGGCGGGGCCATTTGGCTTGAGCATCCAGGCTTGAGTGTGGTGAGACAGCAAGTGTTTGATGCTTGTGCCCTTTACCCCACTGGGCTCATTGCTGATGGACAGATTTGTGCTATCTTGTTCTAGGAGCACCGGCAGCCTTAGGTACTGTTCTCTTAGTTATCTCTTAGCTCTGTGATACTAAGCAAAGTTCATTCTGTTTCACAAATCTGGAACTTGCCAGGCTGATATTCCTACTTTCAGGTGAGAAGACCAAAGCACAGAGAGGTTAAATGTCCAGGTCAAGGATGCTCAGTAAGCTAATGGCATTCAGTTCAACATGAAATTGTTGCCAACAGGTGTGTGAGAAAGGGGAGCATAAGACATATAAAATGTGATAAGATGTGTATCCACAAGGATTTAACAACCTGCTTAGAAAAAGTAGACGTAGCTATGATTCCTAGATAAATGATACAGATTCTGCACACTTACACACGACAGCTATTGGTGGGCTGGAGTGGTCAGGGAATACAATATAGAAGTGTACAGCAGGGGGCCTGAGAGATGCCTTGGATTTAGAGGGCATCTCAGACAAGAAAACAGCTTAATGATTAGATGAGCTTGTACAAATTACTTAACCACTCTGAAATTCAGTTTGCTCATCTACAAGTTAGATTGTTGTTGCAAAGATTAAATGACTAAATGTGTGTCACTTAGGAATGTATGGGGCTATGGGAATAAAACCTGATTACTGTATTTAAAACAAATAGGAGCTTACTTTCTTACCTAACAAGAGGCCCCTGGCCCAGTGTTGCTGGGTTTGGTTTGGTGGCTTAACAGTGCCAGAGCCAGTTTTTCTGAGATTCTCTTGCTTCATGGACTCAAGGTGGCTACTACAGCTTCAGTCATCAATTCCTCATCCAAAGCAGGAAAGAGAAGGAATAGCAGAGACAGCTGTACTCATTCATTCAGTAAACATATGTTCATTGATCACAATTTGTCAGACACTGGGATTGTAAGCATTGGGATATGGTTGTGGGCAAGACTTACAAAGTCCCTTTCCTCTTGGCTCTTAGTGGGAGGAGACAGAAAAAAACAAATAGGTATGTAATATTTCAACAGGCCCTAAGTGGTATGAAGAAAAAATAAAGTTGGGTAATAAGCTAGAAAGTAAAGGCGGGCACAGTGGAGGTTGCAGTTTTATACTATAAAGGTTATCAGGGGATGCCTCTCTTCATTTTATAAATAAAAAAAAAGCTTTCCCAGAATACCCACCCCAGCTTTTCATATTGGTCTCATGAGCCAGAACTGAGTCAAAAAGCCAACAAGGTGGGAGGTTGGGATCTTGTTTGTCCAGATTAGTATAGACCATTGGTTTTTCGACTAGAGTGAGCAATAGAATCCCCTAGAGAATTTGTTAAGCCACAGATTGCTGGGCCCCACCCACAGAGTTTCTGATTCAGTAGGTCTGGGGTGGAGCCTTAGAATTTGCATTTCTGACAAGTTCCCAGTGGTTGATGATGCTGTTCTGGGACTGAACTTTGAGAATCACTGACTTAGGCCAATCATGATCCATTGTCTGGGCCAGGCCATGACCCACTGAACAAAATCTAGGTTTTGTTAGCTAGGAAGTGTGGACAGCCACAAGTGTCTGCGTAACACTGAAGACACTTAGCCCAGTGCCTGGCTAAAGACTCAGGAATGGTAGCTATGAGGATGGTGATGATGATGATGGAGGATATTGTATCATTATTATTTTAAAATAACATAAGGTTATAGTTACGTCTAATCATGGAGGGTCTTAAATGTCAGGCAGGTGAGTCCTTGGTCTACTCTCTGGGAGCTAAGGGCTTCTGGAACAGGAGAGTGAAATGATCAAACTGGCACTTTTGGAAGATTCACCAGGCATTGAGCCGGGATCTGCAGAGGAAATGGGAGCAGGAGAGAACCAGCTAGGAGGCTGTAGCAGTCATTCCAAGCAACATTACAGAGATGACACTTGTTTAGTTGTAGATCCCTCCTTACATGAAATAATGTATGTGAGAGGCACTGGGCAGTCTGTAAAATGGAACACACAAGTGGAGGCGATGTATTCGGAAGAGCCCCAGCTTCACACTCACCTTGAGAAGTGTCTGCACCCCGTCCTGCTATTCAGTGCCTGGGAGCCTTCACACAAATTGCCTCGCCTCTAGTGCTCAGTTCCTGACCTGGAAATGAGAAGCTGGGACTCTATCCCTGAACTTTCCCTGGCACTTACTCAGTAGCTATTGGCTGATTGAGGCCCCTCCCTTTTGCTGTGTAATTTGTATGGTGCAAGAAGGGCCCATGAGCATGGTTGATACGAGGAATGAGCTCAGCGTTGTGCCCCATCCAGGCCCAGCTGCACCTCTGTACTTCCCTGCTCCTAACTTGGGAGCTGGTAGCAAACTCTGCCGCTCTCAAGTTCTTGGCACTGTGCCTCACCCAGTATGGTGGGAAGAGGGTGACACCTGAGACTTGGCTACAGGCTGCAAAGTTTCCTGCAGCCTTTGAGCCAGTGTGGTATCCTCTGCTGACATAAGCTCATGCATACTCTCCCTCCTGGGCTTGGATGGGGGAAGGGTGGGCTTACAGATTTGGGTTTCTTATTACCATCCAATGGACTGGAAGGGGTGTGAGGCCACAGGTACCCAGGGAGCCATCCTAACTAACAGTGGGCACACTGAGGGAGGCAGTCAGTAGTTTGTTTTGTGTTCCAGCTGTTTCTGTGTTTCTTGTATTAACGACGGTGAGAGAGTCTGACAATCGAGAGATTGATTTTTTGGAGCGTTTTATGAGTTGATTTTTCCCCTGGTGCCTCTCCCCTGGCTGTTCTTCCCTTTCCTTTTGTGCTGCTGTCATCATTTTCCTGCAAGGCCTCATTTGATTTCCTCGACCCCCCTGTTCTGCAGACCTAGGCCCTAGCTTGAGAACAGGAGCACAGGGACCATCTAGTGGTCTGCTGATCAGGCACCTTGAGTAACTAGTTGAACAGGCCTTGGACTGGCTGTGTAGTCAAGGACAAGCTGGTTCTTCCAAATCTCGATTTACCGTGCTTGTGTTTTTGAACCCATCATAGAGTGGCTTTGATCACTGGGGCTTATCTGAGGCCAGGACACTGCCACCTCCCTTCATGAGCCTGTTCTGTAGCTAAATCATGTCTGAGTCTACATAGGTCTGAACTGTTGTCATTATAGCCACCTGAGTGCACCTCACCCCCTTATCTGCTAAGCCCAAGGCACTGGGCTTAAGTTCTTCAGCCCTTTTTGGGTTACCCATGCTTTGAGAGACTGATGAAGGATGGTGGCTCTCCCCAGAAAATTGCACCTGTTCACGTACACACACAAAAATGCACAAACTTCAGGGCCTTCGTGGACTGCCCTTAAGCCTCTCTTTGGACCCCTACAGGAGTCCCCGAAGGAGATCCCTTGACCTAGGACTCCAAGAGCACTCTTTATGTCCCCCATGCCTGAAGATGAAGAAAACACAAGAAGCAGAGGTGTCGGGAAGGGCCTGTTGGGCTGTACCCTCCAATCCTGGAGCTTTTCATTTCAGAATAGCCAGCTCTCTGGCTTAACAGCAGGGGTCAGAGAAACTGTGTCTGAAACACATACACAGTCATCATGTTTCTATAAACATACATACACTTTAGAAGCATTTGTTTGTAGTGAAAATATATGGCTGGGTTTTTACAGTACAAGCTTAAAGGGGGAAATTGTTGGAAGGGATATGCATCTGAAAGAATGAGGCGCTCAGTACTGACCTGTACAGGCGCCCACTCCTACATTGCTCTCTAGTTTACCCCAAGTCAGNACTGACCTGTACAGGCGCCCACTCCTACATTGCTCTCTAGTTTACCCCAAGTAGAAATTCTCTGATAATAAAATCTAGATAACATCATCTTCAGATTTAACATTTGTCTTAAAAGGGTTACATGTGTCAGAAGACTGATTTCAAATCTGAGTCCAGGGTCTTTGACTTTTGACAGCAGGTTTCCTTTTCTGTTAACATCTGAGCTTCCATTTATGTTGCTCAGATATTAATCTAATGCCGCCGTGCTGAATTTCTTCTTTTTCTATCCTCTAAATGTCTTAATGGGCAATGCTATAGCATAGAGATTACTTAGTGTCAACATACGGGTTTGGAATCAGACAGGCCTGGGTTTCCTGTCTTGGCTCTGCCACTTCTGAACGCTGCCATCTTGGGCAGTTTACTTGTCTCTCTGCCTTCAGTTCTCTCATCTGTAGAAATGGAGGCCATATGCTCAGGGTGCGTGGGTGGTTTGCTAGGGCAGCAATAATAAAACACCACAGACTATGTGACTTAAACAACAGAAATTTATTCTCTCTCAGTTCAAGAGACTAAAAGTCTTAACTGCAGGTGACCAGCAGGGTGGGTTCCTTCCGAGAGCCGAGCCTCTCTTCTTGGCTTGTAGGTAGCCGTCATCTCCCTGTATCTCCACATGGCCTCCCCTCTGTGTATATCTGTGTCCTAATCTCCTCTTCTTATAAGAACACCAGTCACATGGGGTGAGGACCCACCCTAATCACCTCATTTTAATTAAATTACCTCTTTAAAGACCCCATCTCCAAAAACAGTCATATTCTGAGCTTAATATGAATTTGGGGAGACACGATTTAGCCATAACACAAGTGTGTCCTGCCTGACCCATAGGCTCAGTGGGCCTCCTTAGTACCTGCCTCACCACTGTACAGCCTTTGAACAGGACGCTGAGAGTCTGCTCACTCTCAGACACGCAGACCTACTTAAACAGGCAACCCTGCACGTGACGGGCTTACCCTGGCCCCTCATCAGGCGTGAGACCATTTCTTCCCTCTACCCCAGATTCAGGATGTTATAAATCTTTAAAATGAATCACCTTGGTGTCTCCTCTCTCCTCCACTCAGTCCTCTAGCACAGTACCAGGCTTCTTTATCTATATGAGGAAATGTCTAAACCCAGTCATTGCCTTCATCTTCAAAATTACTGGTCCTGGCTGACTTCTCTTCCAGCCATTTTATTCTGACTCTCCGTTTCTGGCAGCAGCTGCTCTGCCTTGATTCAAAAACTGCCCTTGTCATATCTGAGCAGTGTCCCCCAAGGCCTCGGATGAACCTAACATGGGCTCCTCCTCCTCTGCCCTCAGCCCTGGAGCAGCGGAGGCCCAGTGGGTCTGCCAGGGAGAGCTTGTGCTACCCAGTGCCTCGGAGAGGCAGTGTTCAGGCACCCAGTGGCATCCGAGCAACAACCTGTCCCTGGGCACTGTGGCACATGTGCTCTTCCCAGTTCTCAGTCTGAGCGTCCCCAGAGCAGCAGACAAAAGAGCTTGTCTCTGGGCAGCTGAGCAGCTTCCTGAATGTTCCTTTCAGCACTTGTTTTTCTTTTTCAGCTGCAGCGCTGTGGCTCCGTGAGCAAAGCCTGGGTGCCTGAGCAGCCACCACGGCAGCAGAGAGCAACCTGCAGAAAAGCTGACACCGCCAGAGATTGAGCGAACATGTGTGTGTGTGTGTGCGCGTGCAGAGGAAGGAGTGGTGTGCCTGTTTGCGTGTGCATGCATCTGTTTACACTCGTGTGATTCTGAATACTGCCTGGGCTGGAGAAGTACCTGTAGCAGCTTCACCTCAGCCTCAGACACCAGGTTAGAGGTCATGGCTGTGACTTTCAGCCACCACCTGTCCCTGCCAGCCAGCTGCCTTGTCTAAACAGACAAGTGGTAGGACCCTAGCTGGGATTCCAGCATCTGCCCCTCTCTAGCCCCCCCCCACACACACAGCTCACATTAGACTGAGGAGCAGGAGGGCAACATTTCTGGCTCATATCCAGAGCATGGGATTCTAGAAGCAGGCAGAGCCTTACTGAGTTCCTCCGGATCTTGGATGCCGAGCAGGCTGGAGAGGACAGGTGCTGTCCACATGTAGTCCCCTGGCCTGGTTACTTACTTATTTTAAAATTCCCTGCCACTGGGCCCTCCAGATCCTTCCTCAGGCATCTAGGACAGAGCACAAGGCTGTGGACAGATCTGAAAACTTTTCGACATCACACGCCAGTACCTATATGCACGGTACTGTAGACAGAACCTAGAAAGTACATTTACCTTATGGAAGCTGAAAGCCTAAGGTTACAAATAGTATCCCAGCACTTACTGTTCCTTCCCTAGAAGCTGAGAGCCAGCCTCAGCGCTGACTGGAGAGCCAGTGCCTCTACCAGGAGGAGGCTGGGTTCCTGGCTCCTCTGGCCACACTCCAGGGCACCACAGTGCTGCCACTGAGGTCAGCTGACTTCTGTCCAGGCAAGCCTTTCTAGCCTGTGCTCTACAGGCTCCAGTGCCTGCCTGGGACTGGTCAGCATCCAAGCTGCCATGTCAGCTCTGCCGGTAGCTAGATGCCAAGGACCCAGGCAGGTGGACTCGGGTGGGGGCTGCCAGGGACAGTTGGTTAAGGTCCAAGTAGAAAGCCCACCCAGCACACCAACCCTTCCAGGAGCAGTGGGTGGGAGGCTTGACCCAGAGAAGCCAAGGCCTTACATTCCAGGAGCGGCCTATGCCTCCCACCTCAACCCCCCTGTTGAAGGCCTGTGCTGAGAAAGGCATAATGAAAAGAAGGACTGTGGTCAGCTGCAGCAAGTCTTCCTTCCACCCTGTGGCCTGCACTTGAGCCACAAAGTGCGCGCGCGCGTGTGCACGCGTGTGCACGTGTCTGAGTGTGCATGCATGTGCACACAAGTGTGCATGTGTGTGTGCACACATAGCTGAGAGACTGATTCCTTAGATTTTTGCCCTCACATGTTACGTTAAGCTGGCCTCCGGGCCCTCTCCTCTCTACCTCCCTGTGACCTTTCCTAGCCTCCTAGCTGTTAACTTCCTGGGCTCCAGCCCTGTCCCTCACTGTCCTCTGTCCTTGGACCAGAATCCTGGGCTCACGCCCGCCTCCATCAGCTGTCCAGCACACTGACAGGCTTCTTCCTGAGATGTCCTCAGGTTTGCTCAGCCAGACAGCTGCCTTTAGAGTCCAACTGTTGTGTTTATGTCACCCTCACTAGAAATGTCCCATAATCATCTGGGGGAAGCAGGGCACAGGTGACGGTGTGTATTCGAAGATTTGGGTTGGGGATGTCTCTCTCTGCTCAGCCCCAGCCAGGAGGAAAGAGAGTTGGGGGCTATTGCCATAAAGGGAGTACAGCAAGCCTGGGAGGGCTGGTCTGAGAAACTGAGAAGGCCAGAGGGCTTAGGGCCAGATCAGTATTTATTTAGCAGCACCTTCAAATATCAGTATGAGCCCCTTGTCCTGCCTATTTGATGATGGCTCTCTTCCCTAAGGTACAAGTTGGCCAGACCACGTACCCCTTCTTCAACATCCCTGGCATGCTGGCCCATTATCAGTGGAGTGGAGTGGTCCACTCCCAGAGCTGGGTGGAGTGGGGTTAGGAAAGGGTGCATCTGGTGGCCTGGAACTCCATTGTGGCTTTGTGCCTCCCCTTTCCTGGCCCAGGTGTCCCTGGGGCTGCCACAGAGCATTGCCCCAAATCCTGATCCAAGGGCCAGCACTGAGAAGAAATAGTCGCAGGCAAAATGCACTTTATACAGAGATTTCCTATTGCTGGGAAGGTGTGTTTCTCCCACAGTTTGTTTGTGAACATTCATTACTTGTTTCATAAATGTCTGATCCTGTCTGAGCAAAGCTGTGCTGTTGTCAATCTTGTGGGATGTCTGGGGACTGGGAGTTGTAAGGCTGAGCTGGAACCAGGAGCCTCTTACCCCTCCTTGGACATGCAGGGAGGTGGGGTTGGGGAGAGATGGAGGAAGGGGGAGGCTCCTAGGTGAGCAGCCGGAGCTCCAGCTCTTTGTCATAGTCGAGGGTCAATCAGCCAGGATGGTACTGAGCACTCCAAGCCCAGGATGAGGTTCCTGAGTGCATTGACCCAGCCTTTGGTCCACTTAAACCCCCAGGCTGGGGATCAGTCAGGCCTTTGATCCAATCCTTTACCTCAACTCAGACACTTAATTTAAGCCAAAGCTGTGTGGTGCAGAAGGGATGCAAGCCCTCTGGCTTTGGTTAGGTGGCGGAGATCTGCCCACAGCCAAGCCCAGGGCCTGGATGCTGACTTTGTCCCATGCCATCTGGCCAGAGAGTGGCCCTCTCTGCAGTGTGCATGGGCTTTCCTGTGGGGGGTTCTACCCATGGACCACTGGAAGTGAGAGCGTTAGCCCACACTCCAACATCCTGTGGGAAGGGGCTCAGGCAAGGCCAAGGGATATCATGAGCTGCCCTGCGCAGAGTGAGAAAGGAGAAAAGGGAGGAACTTGACCCTGGTGCTTGTCTCATTCTTGGCTCTGCTTTGAAGCTCCTGATGGGCCCCTTTCTTCTCTCCCTTCTCCTGGCTTCTATTTCATGTGGCCTAGGCTTGGCCTGGGGAGCTAAGAACAAAGGGATACCTTTGTTCCTGAGCAAAAGGTTCTGGAAGATGGAGTTTTCCTTACACACACACACACTCACATGTGCGCACCTAGCCTGAGGATGCTCCCTGTTGAGACAAGCACACACTCTAAGGAGCAGTTATTAGCCTCTGTGGTAAGACTGCTTTCATGCGAGGAAAAGCCAGGCATCACAGCAGTAGATGGTTACTGTTTGGGCACAGTGAAAGGAGCCTTGGCCAAGATAGGATAGGTAAGCTGGCCATTCCTTTGGGCCCAGGGCAGGGAAACCAAGGCCTTTGGCTCCAGGTATTGGGATGTTTGTTCTTGGGCCTGGAGCTGGGGTGGTTTGCTGTAGGGCTGGTACCTGCAGCTCCTTTCTGGGTGCTACATTGAAGGAAAGAGGGTGGTTAACCAGTTGGCAGTCCAGCTTTGCAAATAGGGTTCCACAGGCTATGAAACAGTTTGGTCTGCCCCTTCTTCAGAGAGAGGTGAAGGACAGGACCTGTGGGGGTCTCTCGGGTGGCCAGAGAAGCCAGTGAGGTTTGGCTGGTGGTTCTATGACGCACCAAAGCTGATGCCCTGGGCTTGGCCAGCAGCCTGCATGTCCAGCAATCCATGCTCTGTGAAAACTTGCAGACCTAGCCCTCTTAGGGGAGAGAAGACCAGGGAGAAACCACAGCCTTAACCTAACATAGATAGGTACTGGAGGGAACAGAAAAACCACCAAAAGAATCCCAAGGAGGTAACTGTGGGCATAGAAGGAAAGGCCCCGAGTCTTAGAATGTGAGAAGCCAGTTATGGGGTGTCTGTGGGTGCAAAAGAGGGATGCTCTGCAGGGATTGCAGTTGAGATGTTAAGTGAGAAAAAGGAAAAATCTGGGAAAGTCTGGACATGAAAAAGAAGCTGGGAGACAGAAGTCAAGAGGAAGGGTTCAGCTCACCATTAGCTGTTTGGGGCTGAAATGGGGCTTGGGTCAATCTTTAGAAGACGCTCAAGGCAGAGTCCTTAGGAGAGTCCCCTTAAGGTAAGGGGACAGGATAGAGTGAGACCCGAACCTCAGGAGGAGATGGGCTCTTCTTGGCCTCCGTAACAACACATTTGTATTACGTTTCATCCCTACAACAACCATGAGATGGACAATTATTGTCCCCATTTCACAGATGAGAAAAGCAAACCGTAGGACTGTTAAGTTACTAATGCAAGGCCACATCACCTATTCACTTGGGTAGCCAGGCGGTGACAGGTTTGAGTCACACACCCGACTCCAAACCTGGCTGTTCTAGGAGCTCACCCCGGACACCTTCAGCACCTCGGAGAGCGCCGGAGGGCGGGGCTAGCT